GACGCAAAATGCCATTGCAAATAATAAACAGATTCTTCAAGATGGAAAAATAACAAAAGATAAGTGGAGAAAGAAAAAAATTAAGTGTTGACTGGAGGGAAGGCCTGCTTAAACATCCAAGTTTTTAGTTGGGTCTTAAAAATACCCAGTGACGGGCCCGCACAAATCTCTGGAGGGAGGTTGTTCTAGAGACGAGGAGCCACTGCCGAGAAGGCCCAATTTCTTGTTTTTTCCTTTTGGGCCTCCCTCGGCATCAGGCCTCTCAGCCTCACCTCCTGACTCCATCAAGTGATATGGGTAGGTCTTGGTAGGAGTAGGCATTCCGTCAAATATTGAGGCCCTAAACCGTTTAGGGTTTTATACGTAAGCATCAACACTTTGAAGTCAATGCAGAACTGAATCGGCAGCCAATGCAGTGCGGCCAGAGTAGGAGAGATATGATGGTATTTTCTCACTCCACTAAGGAGTCTGGCCGCCGCATTCTGCACCACTTGGAGTTTCCGCATCAGCCTCAAAGGTAGCCCCACGAGTTTTGCATAAGGTTTTGCAGGTCAAGAGAAGAATTTTAAACAATGTCTTTGACCTAATAGGTAGCCAATGCAATGCCCTACAATGATGGGAAATATGGGAGTAAATTTAAAACTGCTCATACACTACTATTTTGTACAAGAGTGAGAGAATGGAATGATGAAGAAGAAAGACCTACCAAAATGTTGTTACAGTAGTTCAGGACATTCGTAGTCTTATGAGTCAGGAATAATTGGATCTAATAGATATTACCAAGATGGAAATTACATACCTTGGCTGTCACATTCAGAAATGAATGAAATAGCCAATTATCCACTAAAACACTGAGATCCATAGCCTCAGACTCAGGAATCACACAACAACCCTGGAGGAAAAGAGAAGGAACAGTTAAGGGACAGACAAGGTGATCCAGATGAAAGACCAAGACTTCAGTTGTATCCATGTTCAGCTTCAGATGAAGACATCCATGATGAGATGTCCAATAGGCAGCTCATCAAGGAAGTCCAGATGTCATCACTAAGCTCAGAATAAGACTGGTAGACTTGGGTATCACCAGCATAAATATGATTTAGATCTGCTATATCTATTATCTTCATACTGATGACTTAATGCCACCTCATTTGAGATGAATTGTCATTACAGACTGAAGTTGGCCAAACAGAAATAAATCTTTTAGATGAATGCCCTTGGAGAAAACAACCTGCATATCTGCTGCAATGAAAGATTAATAAAACTGCTAATACATTGTTATTCATAAATTATTATTAACTGTTGCAAAGTTAAAACAGTACAACTTTAGAAAATGAATTGCTGTGAGTTAAGAAATCTCTCTAGACATTATCTGTTGGATACTGAGTTCTGCAACTCAAGAGTTCAAAGGTAATGTCCTTGGAGATTTCTTCACTTATGGCAATTTGTATCTAAAAGGTACATCACTTACATAACTACACAACAGGATTTCAGCTCACCTACCGAACGACCGACTGACCGACCGACCGACCGACCGACCGACCGACCGACCGACCGACCGACCGACCTACCTACCTACCTACCTACCTACCTACCTACCTACCTACCTACCACAAAGCCAAGAGGGAGCTGTGGCTTCCTTTTAGAAAAAGAACGTACAGTAGTGCCTCGATTTACGACCATAATCCATTCCAGAAGATGGGCATAATTCAAAATGGTCGTAAGTCGAAGGACCATTTCCCATAGGATTGCATTGAAATGCAATTAATCCATTCTGTCTTAAGAAAAAAAATCACCAAAAAAAAATCACTGCAAGGTTCATTGGAAACGCGACTAATCCCTTCCAGCTGAAGTGGGGGGAAGCAATCAAGCATGCAAGACCAATTGGAAATGGACAGAAAACAAACAGAGCAGATCGGAAATGCACAGAGAACAAAGGGGGCAGGTCAGAAATGCAAAGAAAACAAAGGAAAATGGGAAAAACATCCCAAAAAGCAACCAAACCCCTTCCAAGAACCATCGGAAATGGGGGAAAGCAAAAAGACAAACAAACCCCCCAACACCCATGGGAAATGGGGGGAAGCAAAAAACCAAACAAACCCTCCAAGACCCATCGGAAAAGAGGGGAAGCAAAAGACAAACAACCCCCGAAGACCCATCGGAAATGGGGGAGAAGCCAACAAACAAACAAAATCCCCAAGAGCCATTGGACATGGGGAAAAAAGCCAAAAAAGCAACCAAACCCCCCAAGACCCATCAGAAATGGGGGGAAG